CACACCGCTCTTGCAGTGCTTCCTCTTGCTCTGCACCTGCTGGAAGTGGGGGTGTGGCAGCCCAACTCGACAACAGATCAGCAGAGGGCACTGAATAACTCTTGGTGGGTTTACAAAGACTTTTTGCTATATTTTCCAGAAGTCTTCCCTCCTCTCCCTTTCTTTCGTTTTGGTCAACAAATTCCAACTAGAGAATAAAAATCTGCCATTTCTGTCCTGTGCTAAGCAGCTAATTTTGCCTGAAGTGTTAATTTTAAAGTCTGTCATGAATGTAATGGACTTGTTCACAACATAAGCTTTCTGGTCAAGAAAAAAGAAAAAAGAATGTCTGCTCCATTCAGAAAAACTCCCCATTGGAAGAATTATTCTCTTTTATCACTTATTATTTTACTCTCTAAAACATTTCTAACTTTCTGATTCTAGCCCAGGATACATTTTTCGAAAGGCAACCCTCTGAGATCTTCCCTCCCTCCCTCCCTCCCTCCCTCCCTCCTTCCTTCCTTCCTTCCTTCCTTCCTTCCTTCCTTCCTTCCTTCCTTCTTTCCTTTTTTGCAGAATTTTCTCCAAATAAACCATCATCCCAAAATTGGAACAAAGCTGCTGAGAAACTGGTCCCACCATCCCTTGCACCATCAACAGACCCCATCTTCAAAGGAGAAGCAACTGGTTGTTCCAAGGATGAGGTGCTTTCCTAGATGAAATGCTGTTTGCCAAATTCTTCACCTTCTGAGTGAAAACTGTTGCAGTGATCTCTCCTATTTCTCTATCCACAGAAAGGGTGAGGGAATCCTGAGAGATGATTTGCACAGAGACTTCACACGCCAAATAACATCGATCAACCACTATTGTAGTAATGGAAAATAAATTGTTCCTCATTACGTATTCATGAGGCTTGATTTATCATGCTAATTAGCCCCAGCATTTGCTGCACTGTAGCAGGCAGGGAAATGGAATCCACTCTTTTGTGGTGGGGCACGTATCAGTCCAGCGATCCAGCCCTGGAGATTGGATGGTGGAAGACAAGAAGCCACGATTTGAAATTGTTTTGCTAGGTCAAGCCCAGGATGAGCTGGACAAATGCCACATTGCAATATTTTGGGGAGGAAGAGAGAGAGGCTCTCCTTCTGCCCCCAACTGAAGTCCATCATGGGGTGAAGATCAAGCACAGGAAAAAAAGGATCTGTGTCCTGTGGTCAGAACAGATGGCCATGGCACCTGACAATGAAGTAGGAAGGATTGGTAAAGCCATAAAACCTGAGGTAGCTCCATATCTTGGTCCCATTTGCAAAAGAAGGAAAAGGAGCATGGAAGAGAAAATACGTGGCAAGGATGGTGAGAAAGTCTTGGGTACCTTTATGGAAGGTGTAGGTTTTCATCCTGAGCTCTGGCCTATAATAGAAGCGATACTGATTTCGTCCACTGGGTTGCTGTAAAGATTAGAGTGTGCTTTGAACACTCAAAGAGTTTTGCATGATTGGCGAGAGGAGGACCCATCTGTGCCGCTGGAGATATTGTCTCCAAGGCTTGACCGGCAGCAGATGGCCAAGGAGTCAGCACTTGGGGTCTCCAAGGGTACCAATTTTCCCATCCCTGGATGCCAGGGCTCCTTTGCCAAGCGAGTAGCGGTGGAACTGGTTGGCGGATCCTGAGGCTACGGCTACAAGATCAGGGAAGCAAGATGGGAGAATGGAAGGGGAATAATCAAAGAGGCTCAGGACAGACAAGAGCAAAGCTAAACTGTTACTTCTTTGGATGGAGGATCAGCCTCCTTAGGGAAGAAACTGGCAGGAATCCTCTTTCCATGACATTCTAGATTTCCTGCAGATTTCACTCCTTTCTGGTGAAAGGCAAGAAAGTGATGTCCATCTTTCTCAAGATGGCCAATAAGAAGATGGAGCTTCCTCTTTACAAATCCTGCTGTCGACCTGGAGCCTGAATCAAATTGGATTATTGCTGGAGCAACTGGGGTCACCTTATCACTTCTGGAGCTCTGGATCCATCCTGCAAAGCAACTGGGGTCATCTCTCTGCACACTGCGTAAATGGCAAGGCACTGCTGGGCCATTGGCTTGTTCCCACAAGGCCTGTGGGGAGGGACAACTGTGCCCTCCCCCCCACCACTGGAAACCAAGGAGCAGATTTGCATGTCCCAAACCAATACTTCTGGCTCCCGAGATGGTTGCATTTGAGAGCCACAAAAATTTGCAGGCGTGACGCCTCCTGGAACAAAACTAACTCTTGATGAATTGGGGGTAATTCTAAAAAGGAATTTGCTTGAAATATGCATGGGGGAGAGTCAGGGGGAGAACTACAGGATCGCAGAGTTCACTTCCATCTTGCAGGAAGAGCACGGCTTTCCAAAGGGTTTTTCTCCCAGAAGACATCTCCCTTGATGGCTCAATCAAGCCCCACTGAAGGTGCCTCCCTGGCCTTCCCTGTGCCATCTGCAAGGTGGAGTTCCTTCCCCTGCTGATACAGCAAATGTGCGGAAGAAAACGCGAGGCAGCCATGCTGAGAAAGGAGCGTGACCAGAATGTCCGAGACAAGACAGCCACCCATTCATCTTCCCTCTCTTTCCTGAAGCTCTTGGGGAAGGAGGGGGAGATTATAGAAGAGGGGGTAGAAAATGAAATACTGAATAATATTAAGGCAGCTGTCAGCAGCAACCAGAGTTCACGGCAGGATTTTGATAACTTGTTTCAACAGAAGGAAGCTGAACTCTCTACCTTGGCTGGCTGCTATGAGAAGGACAGAACAGCCCTGAAGATGGGAGGGGGCAAAAGGGGGCTAGACCCCAGAAAGCTCAAGATCTGCCCAGCCTAAGAAAGAAAGGCTTGCACAGGTCTAGTGAAGTCCCAAACCTTTCGTTCCTGCATCAGTTGCAGCCATTGTCAGAAGTCCTGGCTTCTCCTACTGGGTGTGCAGAGTATGGTCCATACTGGAGCCATGCCAGCTGTGGGACAGGTTGGGTGTATCCTTTTCAGGTGGCAGCAAGAGTCGATGTCAAGAGGATGAGGCGGAGCAGAGGGCTGGAAAAGCCCACCAAATCTTAACAGCTCAGAGCATCCTTGAGATTCCAACAGAGCCGGGAAGCTGTTTCTAGACCACCTGCCCAGAGGTTCTGCAACAGCAACCCCAATGCGTGGGCCTGCTGGGAAACAGAGATGCATCACTGCTCAGAAAAAGGGCAGTTTTAGGGCTCACTGCAAAAAGGAATCCTGGCAACTTAACCAAAAAAACTGAACTTCATGGCAAGGTCCAACTCACAGCTTCTTTGGAACTGTCCAGATGTTTGATGAGGATGCTGCTGAGGTCTGTGCTGGCATAAACTCTGTGGCTATTTTGCAGCGCTCTCCCCGTTGGAAGGGGAATGGTGAAACATATCCCTAACAGGCTAGACTTTGAGCATTTCAGGGGTAGGACTCGGCTACTGCAGTTCAATCTGGTAGAGCTTCAGAGCTCCACGCCTACAACCTGGTTGATGCGCTGAACGGTTCATTTACTTTTTATTTACTTCTGCCAAAAATTGACATCATAATATAATGAGGTGGGCAATGCCTCTCATGCAAGGGTCAATGCTAAGCTTCATCCAAGCCACTTCCTGCCTCCATAGCTTCTTTGAGGGATCTGAATATTTCACTGTTAATTTAGGTCCTGTCTGCTCTTTTTCACCCCATAAGATAATTACTTCTCATAATTTGTAACGGAATCTGCTTTCATAATGAATCGCGGCAAAGAGCCCATTACGGAATAAATGGAGAGCAACCATGTATAATTTGGAAGATGACAAGAGTGATGATTAGGGCCTCCAAAGCACCACTGGATTCCCAACCCCACCTCCTTTTGGCTCAGGGTGAGCAGCAGCATTGTGAAGGCTGCATTTCAGACTTGTGGTGGCTTCCGTCCTGTCCGTCCCAAGCTTGACAAGCTCTGCTTTGGGTGGTGCCCACATGCTGCACGGCCTCCATGAGCCCCAAGCACCAATCCCTGCCACCATCTCCTTATCAGGAGCCCACAGCTTTTATGGGTCAAGAGCCGCATTTGTTCCTCGGGTTGCATGACAAGGAGAATGCCCCCCCCGCCCCCCAAATTAGAGGTCAGCAAGGCTGGGAAGCAAATTAAATGGGATTTCCTTTCTTTCAATGTGAAGTTAAATTAAATCTAAATCAACCGATTCAATGCAGCTAAGAGGATGAACATGCTTCTTTAATGACTTATCCTCTCTACCATGTTAAAAATGGCAGTTCGCTGATGGGACTCGGGGAATACCTCCAGGGATTTGGGGGGCTGTGTTCTTCTGCACTATATAAAGGCACCTTTCTCAGGACCTGCTTCTTAGTCTGGCATTTATGGTGTGAGCCCAACTTTTTGCATTCTGTCTGGCGTAAAGTAAACGCTTGCCTCTGGCCCCTGCGCTGTCACCTTGGGACTTGACCCCAGAAGTTCTGGACCTCGCTGCCTGTTCTTGCCACGCTTAGATCGACCACAACTACCCCCTATTCTCTGAGCCTCCCCAGTGTCAGTCTACGGAGCAAATTCAGAGCTTGGTGCTTCAGAGAGCCTGGCGTGTCAGGGCGGGACTCGGGGGATCAGCCGAGACCACGTTCCCCCAGGGGCAGGATTGCCACCTAGGGGCGCCCTTGGAGCAGAGGATTCTGCCGGGGTGTAAAGGGCAGGACTGGAGATTGAAACCGGGAGCTGAGAGCGGGTGGCTGGCAGAAGTCTCCCGTCTGCTTTCAAGGTTTCTCATCGTGTGTATTATTTTATTTATTTACACACTGTTGCGACCCGCATGGGCTCCTGGTGGTTTGCCACAACAGAGCAATAAATGAAGCTTTTAGCTTTGCCGGCCCTCGCAGGCCAGAGGAAGCCGAGGCAGAACGTTTGACGTGTTGCTTAACAGCATAAGCCGTCCTTGAGGATCATTCCGCATCCCGGCAGCTGTTCCTCTCAAACCCTCGGTCGCAATCCACGAAAGAAGAGAAGGAGAGGTCTCCTTACCTGAAAAATAGCTATCCAAGCATAGCCAATATTATCAAAATTAATAGCTCCATTGTGCGGGTTTAAGTCCCCCGTCCTGCAAATGTTGTAATACTGGTTCCAGTTTATGCAGGCGTTTCGGCTGCCGAAGTCCAGCGTGTCCGAATGCGGGTTGTAAGCGTCCACGTTTAAAGTACAATCCATCTTGTACTCTCTGCGGTTTGGAATGCTGGAGCACTTCTGCATGCCGTTATCCCGGTGGGACGAACAGATGAACGGGTTCTCTTCCCCCTCTTCCGGCCGATAGTACGAATGCAGAAAACTCAGGTTGTGTGTCCTGGAGAACGGGAAGGAAAGAACCCCACAGGTGGTTAAGACTCGGAGGAGATTCAGCATCTGAAACACGGATTCCTGCTGGATGCCAGTTAGAGTTCAGCCAAGGGGAAAAACAATGCACCGGCCTGTGGCCTGTGGCCTGTGGCCGGGTCAGGGAGAAACCAGTGCATAGTCTTAGTCTTTTCTGAACTGGGTACAAATCAGTAATAATAATAACAGTAGTAATAGTCAAACAACAACATCTGCTTATCCCCGATCC